TTCTTCCTCCTGCGGACCTGTAAGTCCAGCTCGTCCGCAACCTCCTCAATGGTGTCAAGGATCTTTTCTACAGGCACAATTGAAAAGCCTATTGAAAATTTTAACGAAAATCCTAAATTGAGAACACTCAAAGTAAAAAAACCGAGCAAAAATTAGAAAGTCAAACTCGGATAACTAAAATTAAGAACATTCATATTAAAAAAATTTCGGAATACTAAAATCGAAATTAAAAAATGTGAAACCCAAATTTTGTAATCAAAATCGCACAATCTTGATTTAAAATTCAAATTAAATCATAGACAACAATGAAAATCAAAATCAAATTAACTTACAGTGCCTTAATAATTGATGCAATTCGAATTTTTCAGAGCAGTAAAATCGAAATTGAAAAGCGGAACAAACCTTGATAATTATCGAGCCTTCAAATTCTTTAATCGAAGTTATCCGTACTTGTGAAGAAGAAGATGAAATCAAAATTGTCAAGCCTTCAAATGGATTAATCAGTCGCCATTGATAATTATGGAGCAGAGAGAAAAAATGAGAAAGTTGAAGCTGTTAAGCGTACTTTGTCTTTTAATCTTGGCCATTGAATTTAATATAATATAATGGCTAGCATTGGTTCTCACATAGATAAAGGTTCTCACATAAAGGGTGGTTCTCACCGAATCTCGACCCTTATCATGTGAGAACACATCCCTTATGTGAGAACTCTAATCTATATGAGAACAAATTTAGACCATTGATCAAATTAAATCTAACCATCCAAAAAAAACATAGTAATGGCATTTTCGTAATTTCGTGAATTACACCTCCTTGTCTCTTTGCTATTCTTCTTGGCTTTCACGTTCAACATCTCTTTCTCTCTCTAACCTTTTTGTAGTTATCTCTCTCCTCAAAGAAGCTGAGGAATAACTGGGCTAGGGGTCATTACACTGAAGGTGCTGAGTTGATTGATTCTGTTCTTGATGTTGTACGCAAAGAAGTTGAGAATTGTGACTGCTTACAAGGTATTCGACGAAATGCCTCACTAAAGTTTTTTTTTTTTTAAAGTTTTCTTTCATTTTTGTTTTTTGTGTTTTTGTTTTTTGGTGTTGGATCCGAATGTGGGTGTGAAATGAAATGGAATTGCAGGGTTTCAAGTTTGTCATTCATTGGGAGGTGGTACTGGATCTGGGATGGGAACTTTGTTGATTTCAAAGATTAGGGAAGAATACCCAGATCGAATGATGATGACATTTTCAGTTTTCCCATCACCAAAGGTGTCTGATATAGTGGTTGAGCCTTATAATGCTACTTTGTCTGTTCATCAGCTTGTTGAGAATGTAGATGAGTGTATGGTTCTTGATAATGAAGCTTTGTATGATATTTTCTTCAGGAATTTGAAATTCACTACTCCTAGTTGTATGTCTTTCCTACCTTCTCTTGCTTTATATTGTGTATTCGATTATATACTATGATGCTTGAATGTTACAATTGCATTAATCTGTGCTTTTTGTGTGATTTTTGGGGGATTCTGAATTTTCAATTATGTAATTTCTAGTTAATTTGAATATTTCAGAGCTCTAAATCTATAATGTGTTAGGTTTTCAGTAATTCAACACAATAAGAATTACTTAAATGTGTGGGAACAAAACCTAAATAGTGTAAAATTAATATCAAATTATACAACAATCCAAATATTAACCAAAGTATTACAACCCAAGCACCAAATATACAATGTAATTCTGAAATTACAAAAGAAAACACTAATGTGAAAGATATTACACTTGCCTCAACTCCAAGCCTTTGAAAACGAACATGAACATGAGAAATACAATGACCACTTGAGTCTCGATCCTTGATACACTGTCTTAGGCGTGTGAACACTTTCCTAAAGAGTTTAATTTCCCCCACAACGGTGCTTGGGTTCAATCCGGAAATACTCTTTGAAATAAAAAATACAACCAATTGTTCTTTGCACTAAGAAACGAATTGAAGATGACTAATTCACAAAATTGGATTAATTGGATGAGATTTCTCACAAAAGTTTGCAAGAAGCTTGAGAGAAATTTGTGGAGAATTCCTTTGGAGAGATACAGATTATTTCTTCTGTGTTATTGCTTTTACGAAATATCAAGCCTTTAATAAAGACTCAACCGTCAGGAAAACCGCAAAACAGGGTGGCGCGGGCGCGCCTCAAAGTGGATTGGGCGCTCCTCATCAGAAATGCGAAATTTCCACAAGAAGGTGGAGCGGGTGCTCCTCATCAGAAATGCGAAATTTCCACAGGAAGGTAGAAGGGGACGCGGTTTAGGCGCGACCGAACGCGCGGGCGCGCCAACCTTACCCTTCCAAAGTTCCAAATTCCAGAGAGGTACGCGGTTTAGACGCGTTCTCTCCGCGGCCGCGCTTAACTTGCGCGAGCGCTCCTTCATGGTCGCGAACGCGCAACCATCAACACTCTAAATATCTAACAATCCTCCCCCATTTAGAGTGTTCCTTAAAACATTCTCGACTTCTAACAATTAAACCACATCTCATGCATCAATGCCAATGTCCCTTCGGATTGAATTGACACCTAGTACAACACACTTAACGATGATCATATCCCATGATTTCCATATGGATTGAATCACACGGATATATCCAATCATTCGAAGGTGAAGTACACACAAGAAAAATCAAATTAATCATCACTTGACACTTTTATACAGCCATGTGTCCGTATCTTTCCTAAGTTCATCAAAGTCTATTTGTCCATCTAGACTTCTTGAAGCGGCTAAACTTCGAACTTATATAGGTAGGTTCTCATATACGTAATAGTGCCCTTGTGATAAGACACCTTCATTTAGAGCTTCTTAACTCTAAATCTTTGAGAACTTTGAATAAACGCTACCTAGCACATCACAAGTAACATAGCAATATGGGTCATCATACATTGCTATCAAACAACAAAAATGCAATTCAACCACATTGAATCTAAGACTTGATGTTTCTTCAAGCGTGATATTGGGTCTCACAAATACGTGTTTTTGGACATAAACCCATTCCATTCAAAGCAAATATGACGAAATGCCAAGGCATTGCTTTAGTAAAGCAATCCGCCAAATTCAATTTTGTAGGAGCATAGTCAAGACTTATGACCCCATCATTGATAAGATCTTTCACTAGGCTATGCCTAAGTGAAATATGCCGAGACTTACCATTATACACTTGACTATATGCCTTTATTAAAGCCAAATTCGAATCACAATGGATTGCCACCGGTGACATTGGCTTAGGAAATAAAGGCAACTCTAACATGAGATTTCTCAACCACTCAGCTTCCTTACTAGCTGAGACAAGAGCTATAAACTCTGCTGCCATAGTGGAATCCGCAATGCAAGTTTGTTTCTTGGAAGACCATGAAATGGCACCTCCCCCAAACATGAACACCCAACCACTTACAGAAGAGTCATCCTCTTTGTAAGTGTTCTAACTTGCATCTGAATATCCTTCTAAAACCGAAGGAAATCCACTATAAGTTAGACCATAGTCTAACGTACCCTTAAGGTACCTCAAGATCCTCCGAACTGCAAACCAATGTTGTGCACCCAGGTTACTAGTAAATCTACTAAGTTTTCCCAGAGCCAATGCAATATCAGGTCTTGTACTTGTCATGGCATACATCAAGGATCCAATTATCCTTGAATATTCCAATTGGGAAACCGTTTTCCCCTAATTCTTAACTAATTTAACATTAGGTTCCATGGGGGTGTTTACAAGACACTTATCAAACATATTAAACCGTTTGATCATCTTCTCAATGTAATGAGATTGACTTAGAATAAGTCTTCTATTGTCCCTAATTATCTTGATGCCCAAAATGATATCCGCCTCCCCCAAATCCTTCATCTGAAAAGATGAGGTTAAGAATTCCTTGGTCAATTCTACTTGTTGTAGACTTGTACCAAAGATAAGCATATCATCAACATATAGACAAATGATGACACCATGACCTTTGTCATCAAATTTTCTATATATACACTTATCAGCTTGATTCACTTTGAATCCAAAGGACAAAATCGTGTCATCAAAATTTTGATGCCACTGCTTTGGTGCTTGTTTAAGTCCATACAAAGACTTAACCAATTTACACACCTTATTTTCCTGTCCTTCCAAAATAAACACTCCGGGTTGTTTCATGTACACTTCTTCCTATAGATCTCCATAAAGGAATGTCGTTTTGACATCCATTTGATGAATCACTAGATTGTATACCGAAGCCATTGCAATCAATAACCTTATGGAGGTAATTCTTGCAACCGGTGCATAGGTATCAAAATAATCAACACCATGCTTTTGCCTAAAGCCTTGGATAACCAATCTGGCTTTAAATTTCACTATGGAGCCATCCAACCTCCTTTTCCTAGTGAAAATCCACTTGCAACCAAGAGGTTTGCAATCGGGAGGTAAATCCTCTATGACCCAAGTATTATTTCCCATGATGGAATCCATCTCATCATTTATAGCTTCCTTCAAAAATGCACTATCTTGACTAGATATTGCCTCGCTATAAGTCTTTGGGTCATTATCCACATTGAAACAATATGGAGTAGAGCAACTAAGGACATCCCAAGACCCTTCAACTAAATAAATTATGAAGTCATCTAGAGGATTCCTAATTTTCCTTTCCCTAGTACTTCTCCTCACTTGAAGAGTTTCAACATTCTCATTAACGAATATACTTTCATGAGTTTCAAGTTGATCATTCAACTCTACCATCTCCCTATCATTGGCACTAATTTGTAGATCTTTCGGTCTACTCATTAATGAAAACCGATTTTCATCAAAAATTGCATCTCTTGACTCAATAACCGAATGAATCGATATATAGTCATTTTATTCTCACTAGTAGAAAAAATGAATTAGGCAACGCACCTTTGGCACCGGTTCTTGAAAACCGGTGGCAAAGGAAATGGGCGGGAGAAGCTTGATGACATTTGGCACCGGTTCCTCTTAAACTGGTTCCAAATCAACTATTTAAAATAAAAGGGATTTGGCACCGGTTCTAAACAAAACCGATGCCAACTGTTTAAAATAAACCGGGTTATAGCTTAATTATATCTCTCTCATCCGCTTCTCTATTTCATTCTCTCCCTCTCTGGTTCTGCTCTCCTTCTCTCTCATCTCTGGTTTTGCCCTGCTCTCGTTCTATCTCATCTCTTGTTCTGCTCTCATCTCTCATTCTCTCTCATCTTTCGTTCTGCTCTTATCTCTCCTTCCTCTTTCGTTCCCATCTCGATCTGCTCTCATCTCTCATGTGAGGTTTCGATTTTCGTTCGAATCTTGTTCGAGTTAAAGCAAGTGGTGAACGATTAGAGAGACAGTTAGGCCGACGACACCGTCACCTGCAACGCTTCCGACCAAGACACCGTCACCTTTAACGGCTTCCGGTACCGGCGCTTGAAAGGTTTTTTTTTCCTGTTAAAGCTTATAAAACCCTAATATAAATCTCTCTTTCGCTCAATTTTTTTTTTCCCAATTGCAAGTAAGTTTCTTCTCTTTTTCGCTTAATTCATCTTTATATTCTTTTATGCTGTATTTTTTGTTGATTTTGTTATAGATTTAGTTGAAATTTATGGTATTACGTTGTGTTTTTGATTTATATTTTTAATCTGCGTTTTTTTGCTCAATTTTTTCCCCAATTTCAAGTAATGTTTTTGCTAACCTTGGCTGTGTAGAATCTGTAGATTGTGTATTGTGGGTTCTTTGATTTTGGAACTTGACTCGTTATTTTGGGTTCATTGTTTTTTTTTTTCTTTTTTTTTTATTCAATAACTTTGCTATGAATCTGAGTTTGTTTTGATAAATAATTAGTTTAATTCATTATAATTGGCCTATGAAAAAGTTGAGTTTCACTATATTCATACTGATTAAAATTTGTATGCATTAGTCAAAATTTTCAAGCATTGGATTTGAGTGTCAATTTTTGTTAAATGAAGCTGATAAAGAGTTGTTGCTTATATAACTTTGTCTCTTTCATATGAAATTCTAGAGTGTATCATGGTTTGAAAGGAATAGAATATGAGGCTTGTAAATATTATCAGATCTCAATATTATAATTACATGTTTAGAAATTATAATAGAATATTGCATGGGAATAAGTAGGTGACATGTGTACTTGCTCTGAAATGTCAATTGCAGGCTTTAGGTTTTGCTGAGTGTTCAAAAGGGGTTTGACAAGTCTGTGAAGTTGGGAAACATTAAGCAAAAATTTAATGTTCTGTATTATCATAGTATTAATTTAGAGTATATATCTTCTAGATTAGTTTGAAGCCACATCTTATACAAGTTTAGTAGATAATTTTTAAGGTTGGATATATATATTTTTCAATATGCTATGAGTTTCGTGCCCTTCTGTCTTGTGTTTTTGCATTTTAATCTACTTAATGTTTTTATTTTTCTATAGTTGTATAGAAAGGCGTAGTTGGGTTCTGGATCAAGTGATTTATTGTATTGTGGTCCTTGAGAAAGACTTCTAGTTGCCTGCAAATAATTAGCAATTGTGACCTTTGTACATAGTGCTACCTTTAATGTGAGCCTGAAAGCAAATTGATGATGTACATGATATGGTGTAAATTGATGATTTACATATTTAATCCTTCCCTTATTGAAGTATTTGTTGGTGCTTATAGGCATCTGGAAACTAGTGTATGCAGTAAGGTGCAATGGAAGCTATTAGCTCACATGAAGAATGTTGCGCTGTTTTTGGTTAGAGAAGTTACACATTTTAATGGGGATTTGGTACCTGAATTATGTGCTGCTGTATTCAACGAGTATACGCAATTATTGAATGCTCAATGTGTCCAGGTGATCTATCTATTTGTTACTTTTGTGATCAATTTGGCTATAGAATACTGGCTGTCTTGCTTGAAAATGCTTTGCGAACAGTCTTGTGATGCTATATATAACCTAATACTTGTTAGTAAATACTCATTCCTCCTTCGTTTGCAAGTTAGGGTACAACGTTTTTATTATGTGCCCTACGATCAATAGCAGTTTAGGGATACAACTAATTAAGTAAACTGACAGCAATGTCAATTTAATTTTTAGTTTGACCTACAATAACAAGTGTCAACGTAAAATGGCTGCTACAGTTACGCAATCGCGCACTCAAAATGAATCTCAAACCAAAATGTATTACAATGACTTCATTTAAGTCCTAGTCTCCTCGAAGAAATGGTTAGCTACTTAGAGATGATATCACCTAATTACTGGGATAAATCATAGTCTTAGCTTTATTTTTCCTGGATCTAGCTACATGTGATAATAATTAGGCCCGCAGTCTGCTACTTGAGTCCTTCGTCTTCTTCACTACTATCTCTAATGCTCCAGTAGCTGCTCTACTGGAAGTTTTATGGGAATTGAATATCTCTCTCTAGCTACTGGCTTAGCGTAATTGGCAGAGCCTTGACTTGCTGACTTTTCCCTCCATATCTGGCCTGCTGCACACAACCTAAATTTCTCTAATGCACCATTCTATGTTACTCTCTTAAACCAAACTATTATGATTGTGATGTAAAAATCTCCATTTAGGAATATATTTCTTTATAACATTAATAAAGAAACACACATAAAGTACTCTCAGTAGCTTTAACAACCAGTACTAGTTTACCTCTGTTGTCGGGAGCACTTTGCTTTCTGTCTGTGAGAGTTTAATGAGTTGTTGGATATGTTGAAAAGATATCAATAATCTATTTTTGAAGCCTTATAAAGTCAGCTTGATTGAGTTTAATTACTTTAATTTCAAAGTATGAACAATGTCATTGTTGTTTTAAGCTAATATACTTTTTTTATAGGGGACAATAACGGAGGAACAAGAAGAATTTGTAAAATTTGTATCAAATTGTACATCCAAACGTCGGTCAGCATGCAAGAATGTTTGGGTCTCCGTTGCTATGCATTTGTATAGATCTGCAGACAATTTTTCTCAGGTTCATTGTTTGAAATCCTCATATAAATCTAACATAAATTACATAATACTTTTTATAAGAATGATTATTCTTATAGCTGAAATTTTTATGTTGCTTGTATTTTTTTTGTTCTAAGCAGGGTTTTTTATACTTCTTACTTATTAAGAGATTTCATGCTTTGGGGCTATACTTTTATGAGTTATGTTCTGAATCAAACAATTGTATGGCTAATTTCCTCTGCTCCTGTAATTTCAGGGAAGTACAAGGCTTGTAAATTATATTCTCTCTGATAAGTGTACTTCATTGTTACGGCCTCAGATGCTGAAGTACATCATAGCCATGCTTCACAACAATTTTGTCGAATTCTACAGACATACAATTTAAAGAGGTTTTTATTTTTTTTTCAATTTTTTTAATTAAAAAACCTTTTGAATTGATAATTCTGGTGCTCCAACAGGTTATTCCCTTTATTTTAATTTGGTTCACAATTTCGTTTTACAATTGAGGGAGTGTCTTAAGAATTTATATACCTATTCAAATCAATGGGTTAGTTTTAGTGTGGATTTAGATTTTGTTGTGGTAACTATGTTGCAACTAATAATATTTCTGGAATCTCATTTAGTAATTGCCTATAAATTTGAAGATTATCTTTGTTTTTTTATGTCCTTGTGCTGTTGTTGATATGTTGATGAGGATGATGTTATAAGCTCTTGTTCAGTACGTGTTTAATGACCTACCAAGTATCGCTATCTTCAAAGTCTGAAAGCAAAGGTTCATGTGAGACATCTAAGAGGTCTGAGCTCATTGATAAGACAGATTATGATCGCACACTTGGAAAGTATAGCTCTGATGATGATGAACTGAATGATAGTACACGAAAGTCGGAACTTGCATGGGTTACAAAGGCACTTGAACCTGCACTACAGCTTTGTAGATGGGCTTTCCCAGGTTTGGTAATTGCTAATTTTGTAGTTCATATACGAGGCTTTAAATAAGTAGACTATTAAATAGTTCTCTCTCAACTTGTAACTTCTTCCTATGCGCAACCAAATGACCACTTATAATATTGTTATTGAACAATGTACTGGTGATTGAACAATATATTCCTAATATGATCCATTTATGTGCAGCAAACTATGTCCTCTAATCTAAAATGGAAAAAATTACTAATGCTGACTATTTTATGGGTTGCTTTTGTGCTCTTTCAAATCCTCAAGGCAAGCTACTTCTTCATTGTGCTTAGTGTTTTAGTTGCAAACTTCCTATACGATTCATGGGTACCATGGCTAATGAAATTTGATAATTTGTTCAACGGAATGATATTGCAGCCTGTTCCACGTGGTATTGGGTGCTTACTCATGTCTAGGTATTCATCCACCTCCATCTTTACGGCATCACATGTTTGTCCACCATGTGCTGCTTGTCTAAAGCCTCACACCTTCAAAATACAAAAAACCATTTTGTACTAGATTTCCTTTTATATGGTTCTTTTTTAATAATTGGGCTTGTTCCCACAGTTTTCTGTAGCTTTCGGAGTATTTGGTTATGAAGCACTTAAATTATATGAAGAAGGGAAGAAAAGGAAGATAGCTGGTAACACTGAATCTGTTTGTGAAGCTTCCATTGAATTTACACCACCAGCAGCTTCCATTGGAACAAATACGCCACCACAGAAAACCAGCAACATGGCTGCAAAAGGAAAACAGACAGCAGCACAATAGTATCAACACAACAAACTTCTAAACAAACCAGAACAAGATCCAAGTGTACTAGTCAGCATTCAAGCTGTAGAACAAGATCCAAGTGTTTTTTTTTTTTTTTTTTTTTTTTAGTTTTTTAAAGTGTAATATTACAAGTTATTGAAAAACATATATGTGTTTTATGTATATTATGATTATATATAAGTATTTGGTACAATTTAAGTGAAAAAAATGCAAAAAAAAAGAAAAAATTTATTTTATTTTTTTGGGGTATTTTTGGCACCGGTTTGGACCAAAACCGGTGCCAAAAGTTTTTTTATAAATTTTTTTTGAGACTTTTGGCACCGATTTAAAGCAAGAACCTGTGCCTAAAGTGGGGTTTTTTTGCAACGGTTCTTGCTTTGAACTGGTGCCAATAGTATTGAAAAAAAAAAATCGCGCCATGGTAGTTGGCACCGGTTAACCGGTGCCAAATCATGTGGTTAGCACCAGTTAACTGGTGCTAAATGCTTTAGTTGGCACCGGTTTTGAACCGGTGTCAAATTTTCTTGGATTTGGCATCCCTCAAATACCCATCGGTTCAAAACCGGTGCCAAAGGGGGGTTTGAACCGGTGCCTTTTTATCTTTTTCGTCTAGTGTCTATTACATAGAACCGACAGGTTTTGCTGTGCTCAGCATAACCTATAAAAATGCATTCCAAGCTCCTTTCACCGAGCTTTCTTTTCTTGTTGCCGGACACTCTTACTACTGCCCTACAACCCCAAACCTTGAGATATTTCAAGTTTGGCTTTCTTTTGTACCATAGTTCATAAGGAGTTGATTGTTTTCCCTTAGTGGGAACCCGTTTAAGAATGTGACAAGCTGTCAACATTGCTTCACCCCAGAACCCTTCACTCAAACTAGAGTAAGATAACCATGGAATTAACCATTTCTTCAAGAGTTCTGTTTTTCCTTTCAACTACACCAGTTGATTAAGGTGCATAACCAGTTGTAGTCTCATGAATTATACCCAAAGATTGGAAATAAGCTGGATCATAATATTCTCCTCCCTTATCAGTTCTAATTCTCTTAATTAATGACTCTACTTGCAATTCTACTTCTCTTTTATAAACATCAAACTTTGTTAAAGCTTCATCTTTGGAATGCAAAAGATACACATAACAAAACCTAGAATAATCATCTACAAATGTAATCATGTATCTTTTGTTCCCCAAAGAAGGAGTACTATGAAAATCACACAAGTCACTATGGATTAGTTCTAAAACATTAGAACTTCTCTCAACTCTCTTAAAAGGAGTTCTAGTGATCTTGTTCAACATGCAAGTAGAACATTTATTAGGAGAAGTATCACAAGAAGGTATCAATTCTTGTTTGGACATAAAAAACATTTTATTATAATTCACATGTCCTAATCTAAAATGCCACAAGTCAAACATATTCAAATCAACATGATTATCACTTGCATCAACATTCAAACAAACATCATCAAATACATACTTATCTCTCAAAGAGAGTTTAAACAAACCATTACTTAAATAACAAGGACCTATGAAATTTGTACCCTAGTAATAATACATCTATTAGCTTCAAACACTAGTTTATAGCCAAGACTATTCAAGGAAGGCCCAGATACAAGATTCCTACTAATATCCGGAGCATACAAAACATCCCTAAGAATGATTGCATTCCCCAAACTAAACATTAGTTCTACTTGTCCTCTTCCAAGAACCTTTATGGTTGAATTGTTCCCCATAAAGAGATCTTCTCCATCACCAAACTTGTGAAAGGTTTTGAACCAATGCCTCATCTTGCATACATTCCTAGAAGCCCCGAATCAATCCACCATGAGTCATCATCCTGCACTATAAAAATGTTAGGATCCGTTGCATTTAAATCCAAACCGGAATTAAATTCAACCTCATGTGATGGATTACCTTTGGTGGGTGGGTCCTTGCTTTCATTAGCACGGCCCTCCTTGGCTTTCTCCATCCTTTTCTCGAAGGAAAAAAAAATCCTTCTTGCGGTGTCCAACTTTACCGCATTCCAAACAAGCAAATTTATTATTGTTTGCTTGCTTTTTGGACTTTCCTTTGGAAGAATTATTATTCTTCCTCTTACCACTAGTGGAAGCACTAGATTTACCTTCCTCCACCAAATTAATGGTAGATGAGCTAGGATTCCCATCCTTAGCATTTTCCATGGCTCTTATCCCTACTACAACTTGAAAATGGGTGGCCAACTCGGACAATGACATGTCTTCCTTCTTGTGTTTAAGCTCATGCTTAACACTTTTCTAAATTGTAGGTAACTTGTCAATTATACTTGAAACAACAAATAATTCATCCATAGATATTCCATGTTGTTTCAAACTACCATAAATACGTTGCTATTCATGAAATTGGTCCATTATGGACCGACCATCAACAAATTTAAAATTATTAAAATTACTTACTAAAAACTTCTTACTTGATGCATCTTCTGTCATGTAATTGCCTTCTAAGGACTCCCAAAGCTCCTTAGCTGACTCAACATTTTGGTAAACATCAAATAAGTCATCCTCCATACCATTCAATATATGACCACGACAAATAAAATCATCGCTGTCCCATTTTGATCTTTCCCGAACATTATCCAAGGATTCATTCTCATGTTCACTAGGCCTTGGAGTACTAATGAAATAGGCTACATTCAAAGATGTAAGAAGAAAATACATCTTCTTCTTCCATCTTCGAAACTCCACACCGTCAAACTTTTTAAGTTTAACAAAATTTGTGGTCGATTCTTTCACACTAGACATGCTTGCTAAGATTAAACTCTTTAGATTGTTAGGTTTTCAGTAATTCAAGACAAAAAGAATTACTTAAATGTGTGGGAACAAAACCTAAATAGTGTATAATTAATATCAAATTATACAACAATACAAATACTAACCAAAGTATTACAATCCAAACACCAAATATACAATGTAATTCTGAAATTACAAAAGAAAACACTAATGTGAAAGATATTACACTTGCCTCAACTCCAAGCCTTTGAAAACGAACATGAACATGAGAAATACAATGACCACTTGAGTCTCGATCCTTGATACACTGTCTTAGGCATGTGAACACTTTCCTAAAGAGTTTAATTTCCCCCACAACGGTGCTTGGGTTCAATCCGAAAATACCCTTTGAGATACAAAAGACAGCCAATTGTTCTTTGCACTAAGAAACGAATTGAAATGACTAATTCATAAAATTGGATTAATTGGAAGAGATTTCTCACAAAAGTTTGCAAGAAGTTTGAGAGAAGATTGTGGAGAATTCCTTTGGATAGATACAGATTATTTCTTCTGTGTTATTGCTTTTACAAAATCAAGCCTTTAATAAAGACTCAACCGTCAGGAAAACCGCAAAACAGGGTGGTGCGGGCAATCCACCAAGAGGCGCGGGCGCTCCTATATTAGGAGCGGGCACTCCTCATCAGAAATGCGAAATTTCCACAGGAAGGCAGAAAGAGGGCACGGTTAAGGCACGACCGGACGCTCGGGCGCGCCAAAAGATGCGTGGGCGCGCCAACCTTACCCTTCCAAAGTTCCAAATTCCAGAGAGGTACGCGGTTTAGGCGCGCTCTCTACGCGGCCGCGCTTAACTTGCACAGGCGCTCCTTCATGGTCGCGAACGCGCAACCATCAACACTCTAAATATCTAACAGCTTTGTATGATATCTGCTTCAGGACTTTGAAATTCACTACTCCTAGCTGTATGTCTTTCCTACCTTCTCTTGCTTTATATTGTGTATTTGATTATATACTATGATGCTTGAATGTTACAATTGCATTAATCTGTGTTTTTTGGGGGATTCTGAATTTTGAATTCTGTAATTTCTTGTTAATTTGAATATTTCAGAGCTCTAAATCTGAGTATAATTGCAAGAAATTGATTGAGGCTATAATTTTGTTGCTTAAGCTTGCTATGTAGATGATCTGAACTTCTAAAGTGTGTATATAGTTCAAATTGGGGGTTGTTGAGAGTAGTTGTATTCTTTTGTGATTTGAAAACAATTAAGATCTGGGATATTGTTTAATTGCAAGATAGTTTATCAATTTTTCTAGCAGTTATAATTTGAGTTCTAATACGGGGTTCTTCTAATTTTGCAGTTGGTGATTTGAATCATTTGATATCGGCAACCATGTTTGGAGTAACATGTTGTCTGAGGTTCTTCTAATCTTCTTATGGATGGTACTAGAATTATTTATGATCTAATTGGTTGTATTTTTGTGTGTTTGTGTTTGTGTCTGTCACTGGGCATTCTAGTCGAGGTGTGTGTAGTGTTTGTGTCTATCACTGGGCATTCTAGTCGAGGTGTGTGTAGTTGTGTGGCTGTTTGGGAGAGTTGTGTTGGATGTCCTGTGTAAGTGAATGGCAAAGCACCTCCTTCAATCATAATCTTCATCCAAGTTATTGCCTCATCTAAGTTTCCTCTACTACAATGAGCATAGATAAATGTAGTATATATACAAGCATCTGGCTTATAACCTGCAGTGTGCATCTTCTCTAAAGCTTGCTCATTTTATGTTTTGTTGCTCATTTATGAAATATCAGGTTTTTGATTTTGTATAGCATATCTAATTAAATGTATGTTCTGTTTGGAGTTGCAGTCATTTGTTAAATTAGCACTAAGTATTTGCTCATTTGACAAATGAGCAACTAACTATTTGCTCATTTGCTAAATGAGCAAAAAAGTGATTGTTCATTTCCCAAATGATCAAAGAAATGTTTGCTTATTTTCCAAATGAGTAACTAACTATTTGCTTATTTGATAAATGAGCAAACTAATGTTTAGCGAAGAAATGCTTGCTGATTTTATGAATGATTAAGGAAATGTTTTCTCATTTGACAAATGAGCAACAAACTATTTGCTCATTTTACAAATGAGCATCTAAGTTTTTGCTCATTTATTAAATTAGCAACTAAGTATTTGCTCATTTGACAAATGAGCAAAATATTGATTGCTTATTTGCCAATTGTGTCCAATTGGCTATTTCCGAGACTTTTTGTTTTTTTTGTTTTTTTTTGTTTTTTTTTTGTGTGTCAAAGAGGCTAATATTTTTTTTATTGACATTTACAACAAATTACAAG